TAGTCCGCGCTACGGGACTCAGCGTCCTGGTCGGATTCGGCCTGTAAGGTAATTCATCAATTTATCTTCTATACTTAATTGTTCGTTCGTTTCAGCCGAAAGACGTCCACTGCTGGACAAAGGCCTCCCCCAAGGATTTCCACAAAGACCGGTCCTGCGCCGCTCGCATCCAGGCACCTCCCGCGACCTTGACCAGATCGTCGGTCCACCTAGTGGAAGGCCTGCCCACGCTACGTCTTCCGGCTCGTGGTCGCCACTCAATAATCTTTTCCAATAATATACAATAATTCGTTTGTTTCATGAGTTAAGCGCCCTAACCCCAGTAACTACCAGTTTGAATTGAAAATAGTTTTTGTGTTGGATAGTTACATGCTTAGGGCATTATCGAGGACTGCTACACTATGCTACAACTAATAGTGGAGCATCAATGAAAAATATTGCAAAACGGGAAAAATATTCAAAGAATTTTCGCACGTACCTTTTCTGTGCCTTTCTTAGATAATCCCAAGGTCGCAACTTTATGCAAAAAATGGGGTTGTCACTTGTCATCCTACATTTAGGTCTAGTAAGGACATACTGGCTTTATATTAAGTGAAGAATGATACTTATTTTATTAAATGCTCGACCCTTCGTGAGTTTCACAAAAGTTCACAATACATCGCAGAAAGTATAACCAACGATCCGGGGCGATGTTGGTTGAAATGATTGATGGAAGTTTGCCATTTATAATGTTAGGAGAAAAGGAACTTTTTGAATTCCCTCTTTTTAACTCAAAGGCATTTATGGCACGTAACAAACTCCTGAAAACTAAATTCAAGGTGGTGTTTAATTTGGAATTTCTCTAAAAATAATTAAAAAACTTGTTATAAGGTGAGATTCAAGTATGAATTTGTACTCAAGAATGAATTTGAGAAGCCGTATTCAGATAAAAAAATAACGTAGGATTTTACAGAGTAGTGTCAAGGACAGGATTTAAAAGTAAAATATAAAACAAAAAATAAAGATGTCACTTTCGAACAAACGCAACGCAATACGGCTTTCATTTTTTGCTCTCTTCGTAATACAGGGTGGCCCAGGCCCAGAAGAAAGTTCACTTTTGAAAATTTAAGGAAATGAAAACTGTATATTTTTGTAGAACTTTAACTATCGCAATTTAAAGGAAATTTCATGCAATTTATTTATAAATTTACTTTCTTTTTTAAATTTGATCGTACATGTGATTCCCTTGACGTTTACAACATTCGGTCAACATACATAAAAATTTTGGAAAACTTTCATAAGAGTTACCTTTAAATGGATTCAGGATGGATGAATGCTGCAGAGTTTTTGGATTTTTAGAGTATACACTGCTCATAATGTAACCATACAAAAAGAAGTCTGCTGGAATGAGATTAGGGCTTCTTAGTGGCAATGAGATTTCACCCCTGCTTAATTGGTTTGTTGCATTCGAAAGGATAATTAATTTTTGAGAGCGCTATACTGACACGCTGAAAAGCTTTTTGATTTCAAAGTGGCAAAATTCGCAAGGCTATGACTAGAGCTCTTGGTTTCATCAAGATGGGGCTACGTGTCACATTTCAAATGAGAGCATTTAGATGGTAAGAGACATGTTCCCACAAAAAAATAATTTCAGGCAGGGGTGACATCTCCTGGCCACCAGGAAGCCCGGATCTCACTCCAGAAAACTCCTATTTGTGGTGTTACCTTAAGAATAGAGTATACTTTTATAATCCAACAACCATGCAGCAACTGAAGCTGAACATTCGGCAAAAAATGGAAAATAGGTTTTGAGGTAATTCTAACGAACGCATTTCAAGATTTTGATGTATGTTGATCGAATTTTGTAATCGTCACGGAAATCTCCTATACGATGTAATTTGATGAAGGTAAATTTAAAAATAAATTTCATTTAATTTTCTTTGAATTGTAATGAATAAAGTTCTACAAAATTACACAGATTTTTTTTTCTTGAATTTTCAAAAGTGAATTTCTTTCTGGGCCACCCTGTATAACAAAATTATGTAGAGAATCAAGTAGAAAGAAATAGGACCTTTCTCTTTCAGTTGATCTATGTAAGGATTTATGGTGACTTAGGGTAGAAATATGAACATCAGGCCTCCCCAACCCGTCTAGCCAGCGTGGGGAGTGTAGGCCAATCCTCCCTTTGCTTCTTTGGTAAATTATAGAGAGTCGTACTCCTGCAAAGGAGACTAAATGACNGTCCATTAGGAATCATTGTTCTTACACACAGAATCGTATTATTTCGCTTTCGGGTAGTAATATGTCAAAATTGTTGGTTTTTAGGCGAACAATGTATGGAGAACGAACATTGTCCTTTGGAGCGACTTGATTAAATAACAATGTTTTAGTACTCATTTAGTGGGTAGATTTAAGAACTTTTTAATAACGTAACCACTAAGATGTAAAAGCTCTTCAAGGGCAATCTTAAGAACATTTTGGTTTATTCCGTCACATTTTTAATTATTTGTGACCATTTTTTCTTTTTTTACTAAACAGTTGAACTCTTTTTAGCTATAAGTGATAGGTTCCTGTGATGAAACTTTGAATTGTGCCTTTCATAATTTTGTTTTTGAAATAAAATTGTAAGGCATTATGTAGTACATAAGCTGTAAAGAGTTATTAAGTACTGAACACACACATTTTCTATGTGAAACATAGAAAGGTAAATTAAATAAATAAATTCAGTACGTAAGCTTCACTAAATTATGAACTCTATTGGAAGACTCTGGTAAGTGATAGATATCAACTGAAAGAGAATGCCAAATGGCATGAAGTTCGCCTTATGTACTGTGTCTATATGATTATAAGTTTTATACATATAAATCTGCAGCAGCTGTTAACCTTACCGATAACATAATGGATTTGATAGCAATACCTAGTTCGAACGTCATAATAACTAAACAATATACACAAAAGGTATAATAACGTATCAATACTAATGCCAAGGCCTCCATGAATTACTAAACAGTTATTTATAACGGTCAGCAATAACTGTACTCTCATAGATTATCGTTTAGTTGATACCATTTCTCTTGACATGAAAGGGGTCAATTAGCTGTTAATGATCGATGCTATCGAATAAATTATTAGGGCTTAACGATTATCAAGGGCATAGCCGTGAGAAAATAGTCTCTTAATAATAAAACGATTATTTTCATGGTCATCATCAGATCATTTACGCCCGTATTCAAAACATTACTATGAGGTCTCACAGTGCGCGTGGACGCACAAGGTGACACACGAACCAATCACAGTCATAATCATGGTCATTTATTCCATAAAGAACAATAACATTATCGTAGAGCTAGAACAACGTAGAGTAGAACAACGCTGTGCGTTCGATTTGCTGCTTCACTTAAGCAAGCACCGTTTGTTAATACGGGCGATAGTATCTACTTCAAGAGAATGACTGTCTTTAATATACCAGAGGCAAACATTGTCAGGTCATGTCTCTACTGCAGAGGATTCGCGCCTTGATAAACGTATATCGAGGAATTTTATCGATTTTATACGATAAGCCCATTTGACGTCTAAAAACATCGATAAGATTTTGTCATGGTGGGCATTCTAGGATAGTTCTCTCTAATTTATCACAGGAAAATGGAGGATTTAGCTTACACTCTCCATGATTTTATTTGACACAAGCTTAAAAAATACGCTTATGAATATGCAGCACATTTATGAAAATTCCTTACATCGCGAGTCTATTCGGGATACCACCATCTATTAAAGTAATTTGAACTAATTATAGGTAAGTGCGATTGCCACAAACGGCATGAGAAAAAGGGCACTGTAACAATTATTGTGAAGTGACCTTACCTTATGTTTTTTATTTTTATTATGAAAAAAGTAATACCACTATGAATGATTGCGACGCATGTCTACATATTTTATTTGTTAGAACAGTCTTTAAACATGTTGGTTTAAATTCTCCAAAAAAAGCGTAATGAAACTTCAAATTTAAGGAAATAAGCTCGAGAAAAACAAGCTACCCTCAGTAGCAGAAAATAAAATGCTCGTCTTAAAACGGTACTAAAACTCAAAAGCGTACGGATTTTTATCTTCCCAGTATATTTTCGTAAACAGAAACTTTCTGGGGAATGGTAAGTTTTTTATTAAGAACTAGCTTTCCGCCCGCGGCTTCGCCCGCGTGGAATTTTGTCTGTCACAGAAAAACTCTATCGCACGCGTCCCTGTTTCAAAAACCGGGAAAAAAACTATCCTATGTCCTTTCCCGGGGATCAAACTGTCTCTATGCCAAATTTCATCAAAATTGGTACAGTGGTTTAGGCGTGAAAGCGAGACAGACAGACAGACAGAGTTACTTTCGCATTTATAATATTAGTATAGAAGTATAGATTCATCCATTGTAGAATTGATTTTTGATGTCATTGGGAATACGACATTGCACTGGCCTTCAAAGATTACTTGGAAACGCGATGAAAAATACATCGGCTGCATTAACCTCAAGGTCAAGACGGCTATCAATCGATTAAGCTAGTTGTAAGACATTGAAGTGCGAGTCGATTTTATTGTTCCAGTTGAAGAAACTTTTGAAGTACCCTCTTAATTTGTTATTTTAACTATCACTTTAGGGTTCGATGTTCGCTATCTTTTCTCTCCATTATTGATTTAACTATCACTGAGTATACCTAAGAATTGGGAGTCCATTAGAATTTGATTTTAAGTGACAATGTCAGTAAAATATTTTTTATGTAGTTTTCTATATAATTTTTTTAAATAAAAAAAAATGCCATTGTTTATCGGAAAAAAATAGAATTCTAAGGCTGGGTTGCACCATCTTACTTTAACTTTGACAAACGTCAAAAATCTGTCAAACTCCGTACAAAATACACCAGTTATCGTTAAAGTTAGGTGGTGCAACTCAGCCTAAATAATTATGTGAAAGAATTTTTTTAAATCGGTCAATTTTTCAATTTTTTCTATACTAATAGAAAAAATATTATTTATTACATTACCTTGAGCATTCAACTCCGTCGCAGCCTTCGCCAAGTCCCTCGTAGCCACCGCCGAAGAACAACTAGGTCTCCATCCTGGAGGCGGTGCATGACCACTCGAAGACCGCTTGTTCGACCCCCCAGAACAGTACCCCGAACTGGCAGTATCACAGCTCACGTTCACAGATTTCCTCGGACTCGCTTCTTTACTCGGACAAATATCCCCCAAAGCCATCACTACTTCTCCCCCAAACTCCGTCTCTTCAGGACATTCTGTAAAGGTGCTGTAATTCGGGCTGATATCTGAAGGTCTTCTATCAGGATGGAGGTAGTGAGAATGATGCGCAGAATGTGACGTATGCTTCATATGCACTGAGTTTAGGAGGATATTCGAAGACGTCCGAGTCAGTGCTTCTCTTTGCCGTATCGCTTCTCTAAATATCCTGCAGTACATAGATATCATGACCAGACTCGGAATCCAGAACGACACACTTGACGATACTATCGCGTATACCATATTGACTTTGAATATGCACACGTCTGGGTTCGCTCTTCTGTATTGCCGATGCTGTTCGGTGGTATACCAGCCCATGAAGATTGGGACGAAGCTGATGAAGGCTGGCCAGAGCCAGACGTTGGCTAGCATGAAGCAAACGGTTCTATGAGTCATGGTGACAGGGTATTCTAGAGGTCTGACGATGGCATAATATCTGTCCACGGAAATGCAGCATAGATGAAGGATTGAAGCGCTTGAAAAGTACACATCTAAGGAATTATAGATGTCGCAGACTAGAGGTCCAAATAGCCAGTCGTCTGTGAGTTCTGAAGAGGCGTTGAAGGTCATCGCGCACAAAGCAACGAGCATATCAGCAACAGCTAAACTAACAACGTAGTAGTTGGTCAAGACGCGCAGTTTCCTATGTCGGTGGACTGAGATGATGACGAGTGCGTTTCCGAATATAGCTCCTAAGATGATGGTGGTAAAGACTAGGCCTTTGAGGACGAGGGCAAGGGTGTGCGTCCAGGGGTGGTCGGGCGCGGCAGCGGGCGCCAGCGTCGAGTGGAGCTCGTGGAGGAACGCTGACTCCGTACCGCGCCCGCGCGCTTCTACCTCGCTCCGCAGCGCGCCATCTGTTGACAAAGATAAGATAAGATAAGATAAGCATTTATTGTTAATTGTGTTGATACAGTGGTGTTACATAAAAGGCACATAATGCTAAAGTACACAATTTATCCATTTCGGACGTACAATATAAATTGTCAAAAACATAATTAATTATTAATTGGATAATTATTTTGCAATGTCAGTTATTATAAAATTATTCATTACATTACATTAAAATATTAATTTAAATTATAAAAAGATTTGTCAAATAACCAGTCTTTGAGCGTTCGTTTAAATTTGATTCCCTCTAATTGTTTTATAGTATTTGGCAATCGATTGAATATTTTTATTCCAGTTACGTATGTACTTTTTTCATAAATGTAACTAGAGGGTTATTTATGTTGCGATCGTAGATTGTGCAAAAGATGGTAACTTTAGCTTTTTTTCGAAGTATTCGTCATTTTGCCGCCACTACCAACCGGGTAACATGGAAAGCATTGGGGGAGGCCTATGTTCAGCAGTGGACGTCCTATGGCTGAGATGATGATGATCCGTCATTTGCATAACTACTTTAGACCTAGCGCTTAACTTAGTCAGTGCCTGAGGCATATGAGCGGTACTGGAGAGTGTTTTTGAGACGTGAAACGTCAGTGAGACTTCAAATATGCTTCAGATTTGTATGCTCTGTCACGTCATTGCTGGAAACATTGAATTTTCGGATAGATCCCGTTTATTCTGTAACCTGTTTTTGGTACCATTTGAAAGAGCTCGTGAAGCACTTTCAGGATCAGTGTACCTACCATGAGTTTACGATAAGTGTGCTCGCTAGCGAATACGTCAAAAAATTCTATGAAGATTTTATTTCTTGAAAGTAGCCGCTAGGGGCGCTGCACAATATGTCATACATTTAAATGTCATTTTTTTACGCAGTCGCTAGCGAGCACACCTAACGTAAACTCATGGTAAGCACACTAATTTGTATGCTCTGTCACGTCATTGCTGGAAACATTGAATTTTCGGAGAGATCCCGTTTATTCTGTAACCTGTTTTTGGTACCATTTGAAAGAGCTCGTGAAGCACTTTCAGGATCAGTAACCAGTTTTTCGATATCTGGTATAGTTTAGAAATAATCGAGTGAGATCACTTATCGTTTCCACCCTGTATAGTTACTTTCAATTTACCATTTAACGATTAGACAGCCCAAGACAGGCTGGCAATCTGTGGCGGAAATGGGAAAAGGTACAGAGGAAAAAATACTAATTATACTCCTGTGGACCCCTACAACTAAGTTAAATATGCTTGTGTTAGGAGTATTACCACGATAGTCGAGCAATATAGCGAGGTCCTACTACCGATTATCTAATCGGCAGTCCGAAACTGATACCGTTGGGCTATTGATGCCGCAAAGTGACTGGTTTACGGTAGTTAAGGGTTGGGACATTTTCCCGTATTGTACGATGTAATTGTTTGTCTGTAAGTTCCAAATAAATAAGACATTTTAGGTGCAGTTTATCTATAAAATGAATGTACAGGTGACAGCACATTAGGGCATCAGATTATAGATTTTTGTCTTTAAAACTAACTAAGCGTTTCGATGACTCTTTTATAATGCGAACAGCTAGGGACTGGAATTCGTTGCCTGATGCTGTCTTTCCCGAAAACTATAATCCGGGCCTTTTCAAGGCGAGAGTGAATAGGCACTTACAGGGCAGATATGTACCATCCTAGACTGCATTCCACTTAACATCAGGTGCGATTGTGGTCAAATACCTGCCTTGTTATGCATAAAAAAAAAAACTTCTAGTGAAGTTCACCTTTTGTAAAGTCTGCGCAATTTATGATACTTTGTCGCTGATATAAAATGTGGTGAAGAGGTGACAATATTTTTGCTTCAGACCTCTACATTGTCTGAAAACTGATATTAGAGTGAATCTCACGTTGTGCATTTACTGCCAAAGTTAAAAATGGAGTTATAAACCATAGAAAAGTTACGATGATGTGGTTAACAAAGTTGTTGTCTTTGTGATTGCATTAAGTTAACAACTCTCTAGCTAACTCAGTGATTTGTAAAAATAAGAAATAAAGCATTTGATCGCTTTAAGTGGTCCCAACTTAAGAGATGACACAAATATGTTAAAAATACATAATATTTTAAGTGCGCCTCTTTGTATTAAGCTTACGACGAGTAAACAAACTTCAAAATAACAGAATTTCAGAACTGCTCCCCTAATTCAACATTGAGTTAAATTATTCATCGGTTTACCATTCAAAATTTATTTCAAAACACGAACCTTCTAAGATATGTTTTTGATGTTTGGTTAGATCTCTATCCATAATACAAACTTATTATAAACCACAACAAACGTTCTTCATTACGACTACGTTAAAAAGCTCTCGTCAGACCACACTCCAAAGCTTTTGTGGAAAGCTTGATTTTGTTTGTTTTAACTTATTTGCCGAGCTTTCGACCGCAGACCGAGTAAGCTCGGGTGACTTCGACTAAGCTTAAAATCCTGGGCCAACACGATCTTAGTCTAGTGATGTAGGTGAGTATATCAATGTAGCATTCAGCATTTAATCTTTAGTTCATAGTGATGTACTCGTAGGTGGATATGTCGATGTTTGGAATGAGGCTAATTTAACTACAAACATCACCTTTAATAATAACTGCAGTAACTACACTGGTATTTTGTTCGTTAAGAAAAATGAACACTTTAGGTATTGTTACAGGTTTTTTTAAATTGAGTAACAACTTCAAAGCAAAATAAATAAAAAGAACAATAATTATTCTACCATATTAAAGTGAGAAAATAAAAAATTAACGAGGTGTGCGATTGTGGTTAATGCTAAAATCTGGTTAACGACAGTCATAATCCGCGTAATTCCATTTTAATTGTCATGCATGGAATTTATAACATCATCATGTCGCCACACGTTTTTATTTCAGTCTGGATTTTAGACGCAGATTGGAGGTATGAAAATTGTATTACTACTAATATAAATTTTGCCGCGTATGGCTTTAAAACTTAAATTTACGAGTTACGAACGATTTTTAAAATATTAAACGCTGTTTTGAGCCATGAAAACATAACCTAAACAGAACTGGGCTTTTTTTCTACTTCTCTGAACAGGCTTCTTATGTGTGAGCTTTAATAATAGGCTTTAAAGTAATAATAATTATGTCAGGCATGGTTTTTGTCATGGTTTAATCAAACCATCCAGCTTAAAAGCGCAATCAAAAATTACATAGCACCGATTAATATTTTTTCTCAAATTATTAGGTTGGTTGAAAAACTAGCGCGCATTATTTTCTGTTGTAAGATACTGGTAGGTAGGTACATACAAAAGCAAAAAAATGTCTAGTAAGCAATGAATATTTTGATTTCAAAATAAACTGGAAACCGTAGAAAAGATACAGGTAGGTAAAGTTTTTTATTAATAAAAATAAAACCTATGTTTTGTTTTTTCAGAGAGCCTGCATATTGGGACTACGAGCGTTTCGTAAGTGTTTACTGTTTATCCAACATATTTGTTTACTTGAACTTGGCAGTCTTGGCACACACTCTAAGAAAGATCGCCGAAACATCGAACCGTGACCTTGTGCGTGACCTTATTCGGCACCGACATTGTTTTAAATGACCTTATACATTCGGGCACTGGCAGTTTGCCAGGACGGCGCGCCGTTATGCACAGATGTGCCTTTAACTTATGTGCAGTGGTTAGATGAAGTAGGTATCAAAATGGAGAGAGGAAAATCAAAATTCATACATATAATACATACATTTTCGTATCTGATATTGTAATGCTTCAACCACACCAACGCATGCAGATCGCCATCGCCGGCGCGATCATACGCTAATGACAGGTCGCGCGACCCATGACTTAAGTGATAAAAGTTTTTGTGACTTTATTACTTAGGTATTTGGCGTGTTTAAGTGCCCTGAAAGGGCCTACATACGACTAAAACACTATTTTATAATATAGGTACCTAATTTTCATTTGAACCTTAAATGTTTTAAGAGAGAAGGAAGATAAACAGAGAGTTTCAGCCAGCAGTTTCAGACAAAAGCCTCCCCCAAGGATTTCCACAACAACCGGTCTTGCGTCGCCGGCATCTAGACACCTCCCGCAATCTTCACCAGATCGTCGGTTCATTTAGTGGGCGGCCTGCCCACACTACGTCTTCCGGCCCGTGGTCGCCACTCGAGAACTATTCTGCCCCTTTTTTAACTTTCTTGCATTTTGGACGATGCCCCGTAAAACCGCAGACTTTCATAGGTATCAGTGGATCTCCACTACTACTAATACCCACTAAGGAAATGAATGTTCTGTTTTTTCAGGTAGTACCTACATAAATTAAGAGATGTCTGCATGCTCAAAATTTGGACTATCTGGCTGGAAGCCAATATTTCCAGTACGATTATTTGAAATAGGTTTTCGCTTTCAAATCAAATTTCATCAGTTCAGAGTAGATCCGTAGTTTGTTGATTTCAAAGGTGTAGCCACGGTTTTAAAAAGTATTAATCTAAACATAAGAATTAGATTTTCGTAACTGACAGCGATAACCGGAAAACGCAGCGTGAGACGTCCGTCCAGTCGTCCACCCACAAGGTGAACCCACGACCTCACAAAGGTAGCAGGAAGACGCTGGAAGCAGGCCGTTACTAACCGATCAGTATGGCAATCATCATCATCTTACCTACTTATGTTCAGTAGTGGACGTCTTATGATTAAAGAGATGACGATGATACCTTAGTCCATAGTTCTTTTCCAATGTTTATCGATACTTAAAATTACAGAGGTACTAAGGCTGAGTTGCACCACCTATCTTTGGCCGTAACTATAGCGTTAACCGGTGCTTTTTGTATGAAGTTTGTCAGATTTTTGACATTTGTCAAAGTTAAAATAAGATGGTGCTACCCAGCCTAAGTATTTAATTATTTTGACCACCAAGCAGTGTATGAAAACTCAGCTTACTATGTGAGTTCAATCCCCGCATAAAATAAACATTTGTTAGCTTAATTTGGGACAAGATAGCGTCGTAAAATATCCGCTAATAATAAAAATAATAAAGACTGTCGACGTTCTAACCATTAATCTAAGTCACTAATATGAGCACGTAACTAAACTATA